ATTCAAATGCAAAACCACTCTCCTGGGATGCTCTAATTTAAATTTCAGGCTTGGAAAAACCAATGTCTTTCAAGGGGGGTGTCTGTAACTGCTTTACTTCCGTATTCAGACTTTGCAGATGATGAAGGCGATGGCAGGATAAAGATAAGCAGGAAAGCCCTGTAAGTGCTGTTTTTGTGTAGAGGAACCAAAACTTTGTTCTTAGAGGAGCTCAGAGGTTTTCACTGGAAATCTTTCCCTTGGTCAGGAAACAAAAAATTGCTTTGTTCATTTCTCACTTCTTCATCTGTAAGCTGAGGATTAAAACCAGAGGATATTTTTTAATTTTGGTGCTGCTTTCTTCTTGGAGAGGAAGGCTGTATCCTATTTCATACATACTCTTCTCACCCAAGGAATCAAAGTGCTATGATGCGGTAAAATAGTAGGTGTTTGATTTAGTGCTCCTTCCTATTCACAACAGAATATTGACACCTGCATCAGTAAGGTAGAAAATCACAAGAAGAGAAGATAAAGTGCATTCCTAGGCAAGATGGGAATTAGCTCTGTGAGTAAAGATGGGTGTTTTCATAACATTAATTTTCTGATTTTATGTTTTTCTTTTTTACTTTTCATTTACATGTGAAAGAAACACAAGCAGACAACACTCCGAAACATGCCTATATGTGAGACCCTACAAGATCTCTGTTCAGGTGCAACCCTCAGATGGAGAAATCGAGAAGCAGCTTCCTGTACAGCCAAAAATCATTTTCCTGGACAGAAAGGTAGGATTTGCCTCTCTGTGGATGGATACCCTTATTAATTCTGTGCTATTTTGGCATTTGACATTTTTGACATGGAGTCTGGCTTTGCTCAGTGGTGCCAAGAAAGAGGACAAGAGGCCATAGGCAGAAACTGATGCCCAGGAAGTTCCACCTGAACATGAACAAGAACTCTTTACTGTGCAGAGACTGAGCACTGAACAGATTGTCCAGAGAAGGTGTGGAGTCTCCCTCAGTGGAGATATTCCAGAACCATCTGGATGCAATCCCATGTCACGTGCTCTGGGATGGCCCTGTTTGAGCAGGGAGGATGGACCAGATGACCCACTATGGTCCCTTCCACCCTGACCCATTCTGTGATGTGGCTTCATCCTAAAGAGTTCTGGTGAACTTTGTAACATGTGACATGTAGCTGCAAACTGCCCTCCAAGCTGTCATTAAAAATTATTACAGTTGTTAAAACCGCCAAAACTTTCTTTCCTTAAACCTTAAAACTTTCTTTCCAAAACCTTAATTCTTCTGTTTTGTTCTTCCTCCCAGGGTCAAAGAGTTGACAAACTGGGGCCTCCCTCAGAACCCTGGGTTGTGTCAGCTCATCTCAAGGGCTCCTCCGAGGCTGTGCTGAAAGGTTTGGACGAGTTTCCTCGTATCAGGGGTTGTGGTAAAGCAGCTGTGCAGAATGGTGGGGATAAATTTAGTTCTCCCTGAGAAATACTGAATTTGAAAACTAGTCTTTGGGCTGGAAACAGAAGGTTGCAGTGGGAGTTTGATGAACTGCCCAGTCATATGCTACAGAAAGAGAAAAAAAGCTCATACAAAGTACTTTTGTGCTCTAGTAGCTTAAAGGAAGTACATCCAGTAGTTTGTCTTGAAAAGACATATCTAGGATCAAAAAGGAAAGAATGAAGAATTACAAATACTAACACTTAGTTTCCAGTTTATGTTATTTAGGGCAATTTCTTTATAGTCCATTACAATTTGTTTATCCAAGCAAAGCATCTGGCCAAGCACAGACAGAAACAATTACCTATTGTTTGTCATTAGCATATTTTAATGTGAAAATGTGGGGTTTTTTCTTTAAAAGGAATCTAAATGTTTCCCTTCTGGTCCTCATTTATTAAAAGACCTGAACTCAGGATTAACTCTAAGCATGTGAGCATTTCCCTCGAGGTTATATGACCATGCTTAGATAGAGAACCTTGTTTAAGCAGAGTGCTGAACCAAAAACCTCGGGAAGATCATATTCTGGTAAACTAGAAAGTGGAAATTATAGTGATTATAACACATCCTAATTTTCATTGCTAAAATACTTAAATACAGGCAAGAAACACACAAAATGAGAAGTGAGGTTTCCTGTTGCAGATAAAGTATTTTGTTCACAGAAATGCCATTTGTGTGTTAGTTTTGACTTGAAAAGTTCCCATTTGGAGAAGATAAGTGGCATTCACGCTGTAGATCAGAACTTCTCCCCCTTCAAACCCTGTTTCTTTTAATCAGAAA